GTAAGTTAACGCCTTCTTTAGTTGCAGTAACTTAAAAGCTGTAAATGCTATCCTATTGATATTTAAGGGCTGAGTCTGTACCGAATTCTCATCGTCGTCTGCATCCTGCTCTCTTTGTTCTTCCTCCTGTCTCTTCAGTTTGATCTCCATGGCGTCCGTGATCAAAGCTCTGAGGATGGAATTGGGCTTGGCCGATTTAATAAACGGATGCTGTAGAGGAGAAAGACACGTAACGCTCAAACCAAACGTTTATGGGTTTTGACATTAGTTACAATTAGAATTGATCCATGAAAGCTAAAGCATGACCACAATAGCAAATATTACAGCAAATACTACTATTATGTAAAAAATACTACTATAATATGATATATTAAACTGAAATTCCAGCCAGCAACAAAACAAAATAAAATGAATGGTTAATTAAGTGAAGCTGTTCACTAAAAGACAATATCAAAAAAAATAAAGCTCATTAATGTAAAAAAAAAAAAATTCAAAAGTCAAATCAAAAAAATGTAAAAATTAAAAATAAAAATACATTTGATTTGAAAAAGTTAAAGAGCAGGTCACACAATAAAACAGAAATAACAATAATAAACAGATTAAAAAATGAGCACAAAATTGTTTAATAGTTATTACCTCATTTACATAGTGTGGCTTTAATAAGTAAAAATCTAATTTAAAGATATCTAAAGGTTTGAATGTTTTCTGATCACACGGTCATCCACGATCTATTATCAGGATTGTTTCGTCACCTGTAACAGCTGTGTGGCCGTCGCTCTGTTTTCTGGGTTCTTCACTAAACACTGGCTGACAAAGTCCCGGAAGCCCGGAGACCACAGATCCGGGTTCCGAAAGGTTGGGGGAGGGTTTGTGGGAATCATGAAGATGGCCTGGAAGAGGAAACAGTTCAGCACACTGAAGGCGAAACCAGCTAATCATCACTGTTCAGCTAAATACAGTAATTCATGTCACACTCCTTCGTTTCCTCTCTTTGTCTTCTCTTACACACACACACACACAGCTGTTATTATTTACATACTAACACTTTCTGGGCTTACACACACAGTGCAAACACACTTGCACTGCTTTCTACTAAAGATGTAGAAAGCAGCTGGTATTTGTATCTGTATTTGTTGAGGGGGGAAAGTATTTGTACTTGTATTTGTATTTGAGTAAAATTCAAAATAGCGTAAAAAACATTTTTTTTGCGTTACACTTTTAATTAACGTAATAGTGCAAGTATTCTTTAATATATCCTTTATAATCATTATGGATATGCAATATTAGTTGATGTTTTTCCATAAATCCAGCAATGAACATGTAACAAGAAAATAACATAACAGCCTCATCAGTGGTCAAACCAACAACTGATAAAATACCATTATGACCATTATGAACCCACCACCACCCGTCCTGTTGGAGGAGACTGAACAGACAGCGAAACTGACTTGCAGGGGCAGAACATGGCTGTGATGATGAATCGGTGCTTGTGGTTGGCAGACAGTACCAGGAGAGGAAGCTTTAAGTGCATGTGATTACGCATAACAGATGTT